ACACACACACACACACACACACACACACACACACACACACACACACACACACACACACACACACACCAATAAAAATCAATGAGAACTTCTGATACTTTAGGGATGGTGTTTTATGACAGCTATAAATAACAACAAAAATCAGTTGCCCCCACAATGTAGATAAGGGTGAATGGTTACATTAGACAAACGTACGTATATTGATGCTACATAAGGGTAACAACCATTCATAGATGTATTTATGGCACAATCATCAGAGGACACTGTGGTTTGAAAGACTGCACAGTGAGAAGCCAACAAACCTTTATAACTTAACGAGCCGGAGTATGTCGGGTCGGGAGCTACCGAGGATTTAGGATCCAGCATGGCTCCATGTGAAAAAAACTGACGACAGAGTTGTCAGAATGCATATGGCTCTGACCTGAGTCCAACTCTGACTTTTACCACCGTCACTGCCACTTAGAGCCCGGTGAAATATTTGACTCGAGGTGTTTCTCTTGCGTGAACAGTACTGGAGCCCAGAGAGATTATGCCAATCAGTGTATCGAAGCCCACAAACTACTGTATGTAGGTAAAGTTTGGCACGAGTTGGGTCGACTGGGACAACAGTGATACAGAGAGATAATGAAGAATACAAGAGTGGTCATGAGACAGAACAGCGAGAGGCTGAAACCAAGTGTCAAATCAAAATCAAAACACCAAACCCCACAGTTCCACACCTGTAACTAGAAGTAGATAAAAACTCTGGAAACACAACGGTAATTACAGGATCTCAATGTACAACATGTCAGCTGCGTGTAGAAAACGGATGCATTCATTTGATTATTTAAAAAATATATATTTATATGCACATACTCTTTTGTACAGCGGCTAAACACTTGTTTGGTATTAAAATGTGCACACCTGTATCTATTGTTTTGTCTTTAAATATTACTGTTGATTTACACTGCTTACTTAACATTGTCTCCAGAGATTATGATTTTATAAGGTGACAAAGGAGCCAGGCACATATTCTGCCTTCCCTTTCATTAAACATTGTATTCTAGTGGAATGCCAAGAGTTCTTGAGACAAAAATAGAGAACTAGTAGTAGTAGTAATAATAAAAAAAAAAAATTATATATATATAT